TCAGGCAGAAGCATCCAGATCTCAGTTGAGTCCTCTCTGACCCAAGACAGACATGCCTAAAAGAGGGCAATCACCCCAATGCTGGCAGAGGCACTGGCCATTGCCACCTCAAGGCTGGGGCAGCTAGGTAGCACAGAAGTGACAGTGCTAGATTTGGCAGTCTGGGAGCCCTAAATTTAAACCCTGTCTCAGACACTTCCTAGCTGTGTGATCCTGGGCAACTCACTTAACCTCTCAGCCTCAGTTTCTCCATCTGTAAAATGAGAATACCAGTGTCTACCTCACTGAGAAAATAAATGTAAAGAACTTTGCAAACCTTAAAGTGCTAAGTAAGTGTTAGTTACTATTACTTCAGCCCCAAATCTGCTATTTCCACACAGAGACAGAGCTCAAACCTGGGCAACCATCTCTCCCACCCCTCTTTCCATTCTGTTTCTGATGGTTTTGAGGATTGGTCTATTCAGTGATGTGGGAAGGCAGAGCCTGGAAACCGTGCTTCCAAAGGAAAAGTCAGAGTCGGTTGGCCAGATGGAAGCAATTATAGGAGGGCGGAAAAGGGAGAGAAGAAGGAGGAGGGGAACCAGCAGAAAGAGAGAGACAGTGGAGGGGGGGGAGTAGGAAAGGAAGAAGGGAGGGAAGGGAGCCCTACCCAATGGATAGAGGGGCTAACATTCCAACTGACTGAGCTCAGGTTATTGAGGCCTCCAAGAAGAGATTCAGGGGATGGAGACTAGAACATATGAGAAGACAATGCTGGTTCTGGTTTCCTAATCTGTAAAGTGAGGAAGGGTCAAACTAGATGTGCTCTAAGGTCACTCCCAATGAAAACATTCTATGAATTTACTATACATGTTTGGCAGAAACCCAAGCAGACTTGGGATACAGATGATCCCAGGCACACAGAGCCACCAGCGTTAGGGCCAGGCTGGTGGGCACATACTAACTAGGACTGAACCTTAGGCCTCTTGTATTCCCCTTTAGTGGCAGAATCCTATCATTCATACCATACCACTTGCTCAGGCAGGTCAAGGGAATTGCAAAGGCCATCTCTCCTCCCCACCCTGCACAAAGGAGAGTAGCTCCAAAATTCTCCGTGGCATCTGGAGCCCTACCCACAAGGTCACCAGCCTCCCAGATCTATCCCTTCCCATCCTCCATCCTCTAAGGATATCCCCAAACCCCGGGATGCCCAAGAATGGAATGAGGCAGTAAGGAAAGCAGCATGGGGAAGGCATTCCACCTAAAAAACTTCACAAGCTTAGCTTTGGCATCTCCTCCCTGAGAATGCAAAGAGGCTTTGTCCTGTGGGTCTTGGTAGGAAAACTGAGGGAGAGATTAGAATCATGCCTCCCATCTGGCCAGCACTTCTCTCCCTGATGAACCAGAAATGGAATCTAATATAAAATCCAATTAAAACAAATATTTGTTAAGTGTCTGTTCTATGCCAGGCCCTCTGCTAAAGCTGGGAGGTTGAGTACCTCCGGCCTAGTTAATTAATAGTTCCAGCTCAAAGCCTAGCTCAGCCCCTCACATTGGCTGGGGGAGGACATCGAAACTTAATTCCTTTGGATGACAGGATTTAAAGCAGGAAAGGATTTTAAAGATCAACTATCTAATCCAGCCTCTCATTTTATGGATGAGAAAGCCAGTGGAAGGAAAGTGACTCACCTAACTGTCTCATAGGTAATTTACTTAAGGTCCCTAAGTAAGCATTTGCATGGAAATCCACTAGCTAGGCCCAGATCAGATTTGAAGTCAATCCTTCTTAGACTTGAGACTAAGAAAAAAGTCTGGGAGGTAAGATGTCTGGAGCCCCACCTACTCCTGAAAAATCACCCAAGGCAACACTTAAACTCCAGACCAAAGTCTAAACACTCAAAATTATTAATGGGTGAACTGGTAGAAGGGAAGGAGGGGAGGAAATTTGCATTTATTAAACACCTAATAAGAGCCAGATACATGGCTAAGCACTTCATAAATATTGTCTCATTTTACCTTTAAGAAGATTGAGGCAGACAGAGGTTAAGTGATTTGCCCAGGGTCACAGAGCCAATGCATGTCTGAGGTTGAATTTGAACTCAAGTCTTTCAGACTCTAGGCCCACTGCTCTACCTAAAGAGTCACCTAGCTGCTAAAGATGATGCAAGGGAATAAAACTAAGGCCTCTGGATGTCCAGCATCCTCTTCAAGGTCACATAAAGAGTGGAGGTCTGATTTATCATTGGATGTGACTGTTCAAGCAACAGTATTTGATGCCAAACCCAAGATTCGAGAAGGTCAGGGTCAGATGGAGATGGGAAGTTGTATATGTTGTCCTGGGGAGTGGCGAGGGGGACTACTAGCCAAGTAAATACAACTTCACCTGAGATCAGACACTCACACATCCTGAGCATCTTCTTTGGAAAAACCACAGGTACCAAACCAAGATAATGAGTATGGGGAGGAAAGAGTGAACTATGATTACAGAGAGGCATGAGGAAAGGCTGTCGAGTTACTTGGTGCTGTCGTTCAGTCATGGCTGACTCTTCGGGACCACGTTTGGGGTTTTCTTGACAAAGGTACTGCAGTGGTTTGCCATTTCCAGCTCTTTACAGGTGAGGCAATTGTGACAAACAGAGCTAAGTAACTTGCCCAGGGTCACACGGCTAGGAAGTGTGGATTTGAACTCAGGAAGATGAGTCTTCTTGACTCCACACCTGGAACTCTATTCACTGTACCACCCAGCTACCACTACTTACAAGGTGAGTGGAGCCTAAAGCTATGAACCAGAGCTGAGGATGAGGATGGGGACAGGATGAGGATGTGCCCCTCTTGGGGCACAGATTCTGGACAATTTTCTTTAAAGGGGGGCAGAATACACAAGTCTTTCAGGCCCCAGTTCACTGGCAGAGGGCCAATCAGCTAAAGGAACAGCAGAAGCACAGAACTACCATCAGCCACTTCTGCAATGCCCCAGCAAAAACAAACCCAAGTATTAAGTGCCCTGGGAAATTTTCCCTGACTCAATCTTTCAAGGATAGAAGTATGACCACCTCCTCCTCAATCGCCTGGGATGGATCTGTTGGGAAGTTCAAACAAGATAACGAATATAAAAGCACTTTGAAAGATAAAGTAACATAAAATTACAAATTATTAGTGGTACAATTGTCCAGACTGAATCAAATTCCAATCTACCCTGGCCTGGACCTGGGATGCTGAAAATTATTCTCCCTCCAAACTAGGACTCTAGTATTATTTTCCTAACGAGCTAAGGGGCTCTGTGACTTTTGGCAGATTAATCAGAGAATCATAAAGAGAATCATAAAATCTCAAGAGCTGCAAAGGACCTCCAGGGATCATCTAGTCCTGCCCCTCCATTTTATAAAGAAGAAAACTGCCAAAGGGAAGTGACTTTCCCGAGGGCACAGAACTAGTTAAGAGAGTAGGATTAAAATAACCACCTCTAGACTCTCCTTCCACTTCACTTTCTTTAAAGAAATCTAGTTTCCTCATATGAAAAATGGGAGGGTTTAAACTAAATTAGCTCTATCTAGAGTCCCATCCAACATGTAGGGCTAAAATAAAACAATCCCTCAAGTCAGAGTTCCAGGGCACCCAGAGTGGCAGGCAGGAGTACCACGCAAAGAAGTCCTGAAGGGTGCAAGAGAGACTGAAACCCAGCCCTGCCCTGCCCTGCCCAGCCCCACTTGGGGCCACCACAGCTGCTGGAGAAAAAGATAAAGCAGAGAGTCAAGTTTCCTAGGGAGGGGAAGTGACTAGGCAGCCAAAGAACCACAGAGAACGGAATTGGGGAGGCAAAAGTAGACACCAAAGTGGCAAGGGCACAAGAAACTTCACCCACTTCTTCTAAGGTACTCTTTCTGCAAAGATCCTCAACCACCAACAGGAGTCTGGGTTGAGGGAATTTAAAGGTAACCTAGCCTAACTCTGGATCCCAACCCCATCAACCCCACCCCTCAGTTTTACAGATGAAGAGGCTGAGGCCTAGAGAAGTTAAAATCGAGTAAATGTAAATAAAAGTGTTTTTCAGACTTTAAAGTGTTATAAAATGTCAGCTGCTGTATTGTCCTTGCCCAAGGTCACAGAGGGAAGAGAAGGGCTGACAAGGTGGAGGGGAGGGAAGAGAATAATCAAACCCCAGGCATTGTAAACAAAGCCCTGAGGATTCGGTTGGGTGACTGACCTCATTGGAGCCTAGGACAAACAAGGGAAACTGGGACCAGCAGGAGATTAGGATACATACTGGCTGGGTCACCACAGGGCAATCGAAGAAGGAAAGAGAAAGAAGTAATCTAGGAGCATCCCTAGCCTTGGGCCTCCTAGTGGATAGTCTGGCCGACTTGGAGTCAAGAAGACCTGAATTTTGATTCCACCTCAGCCCACTCACTGGGAAAGCTAGGTGGCACAGTGGATAGATCACTGGGCTTGGAATCAGGAAGCCTCATCTTCTTGAGTTCAAATTCAGCCTCAGAAGGAGAAGGAAATGGAAAATCACTCCAGTACCTCTTCTGTGAAGAGCTGGACACACTGAAATGACTAAACAACCACAAGCTCTTACTAACAGTACCTAACCTCACAGGGTGGTCAGGATCAAATGAGGTCACAAATGTGAAGCCCTTTGCAAACCTTAAAGCACTATGTAAATGCTGGCCATCATCATCATCATTACTATTCACACCGGTGATGAATAAAGCACAGTTCCACTCAGAAAAGAAAGCCCAAAGGACCCTCTATTGTCAGGAACAAGGTCTTAAAAGTATATAATGTAGAGGGCAGGTCATCCCTGCTTTGGAACTAGGAGCGGAGTGGGAGGGGAATGGGAGAAGAGGGGAGAAAGAGCAAAGGCTCCAAAGGCTTGTCAGTCACTGACTGACACGGCACACACAGCGTGAAGGGTGCTCCCTCAACTTCATAGTGAATAAATGACTCTACGTCACCCAGTCTTTACACTGAAACATCCCTACACTGCTTTTCTTACCTCAGACTGCCCTGGCCAAAGCCCTGTTACTTTCCTCCCCTCACCTCACACTGTTTTCCCTTCCACTACCAACTCTCAGTACTTGGGTCAGAAACAACTCCTTCTTATCAAAAGTCCACGATGACTTCAGAGGACATCATGCCTCTCAAGACCTCCCTTCACCATGCCAGCTTTGCAGATGGGATGTGAAGTCTACTCCAAGATTGGAGCTGACAACAGTGCTTGGAACCAGTACCTGCTGGCCACCAACCTCCTGCTTATCTTGGTTATACTGTGGTCTTGGGCAGGAGATTCAAAGACTAACCTCCTGCACAGCCTCCCACAGACTTGATCATTTTATGTATATTTCCAGGAAACAAGAACTTCTGGGTTTCTGCCCAAAATGACAGCAGGGATGCCCTGGGCTCCAAGTCCATCACAGGGCAACAGCGGCTGCCAGGACTGAGAGTGTGGGAGACGGTGCCACAGATGGATGTCACTATCTAGATCCAAAAGGGCTCTCAGACCCCACTGGAGAAAAGAACCCAGTTGAGGCCACCAAGAATCAACCTAGCTGGTGACCCATATATACAAAAGGGATAACCTTAAGGATAGAGTTCTGGGCCCAGACTTCAAAGCTCTATTCAAACCAGAATTTTGCTGGGTTCTGTTTTTTGGGGGGGGGGGAGAGAGAGTAAGGGAACACTCGGCCTCAGGACCTCCCTTCCAGAAAGTCCTGCTAGTTGTGGCACCTTAAGTAAGCCCTGCGGAGGGGAACACTAGGCTCCTGCAAACACTGTCTATGCTGAAGAGTCTCTCGAAGAGGTCCCCGAGCCTTGACCATGGGTGGCCATGAGGCACGATGATCACCATTCCCCTTCCCGCTCTCAGGTCCAATCCAGACTTTTAGGGCACACGGCAGAGCCTTGAAGTAAAGGGAGGGCAGAAGAGCCCAAAACACAGGAGTGACGGGGGAAGCAGTGGGCAGACATGTTGGCAAGCCCCGAGCCGTCTGCCAGGGAGGACCCCTGCCTACCCGGACGCCTAACCCGCCCGACACCAAAGGTGGCGGGAAGCAGCCACTGCTCGAACTCTGCCTCTGTTCGAACCCCGGAGCCCGGGCATGCGGGGTGAGTGAGCGCGTGGGCACTGCCAGCCCGATCCCGGGGCTCCGGCGGATGCCCTCCATCCGGGCTGAAGAAACTTTGTGCAGCGGGGCGGCGGCCGCCCCCTACCGCGGGCAGCTCTCCGTCGACCCCCGGGGAGTCCCGATGCCGCGCCCGGCCGCGGTGGGGCGTCCCTCCTCCCCCACGCCCCCTCCCAGCCCGCCCGCGCGCGGCCCCTGGCCCCAGGCCCCGGACCCCTCCCCCGGGCCTCGAGGGTCCCCCTCCGACCCCTCCCCTCCCGTGCCTTCCCCTACCCTCGGCCGCGGTACTCACCCTCCGGGCGGGGCGGACTCGGCGGCCGGACAGGTCAGGGCGGGGACGCTGCTCAGATCCGCTAGGCGCCGGGCGGCCAGGCGCGGGAGAGGCGGCGGCGGTGGCTCCGGGACCCGGGCCTGTCCCGGACCGCAGCTGACCGGGGGCGCTGGGAAAGTCCGCGCCGGAGGGGACCCGGGCGGGCGGCGGCGAGCGGTGAAGGGGCTGGCTCTGGGATGGACACGCTTGCGCACACGGGCCCGGAGCTCGGCGATGAGCGGGAGAGGGGGAAGAAGGGGGAGAAGGGGGAGGGGGCAGGGGAAGGAGGGAGGCTGAGGGGGAAGGGAGGGAGAGGAGAGGGACTGGAGGTGAGGGGGGGAGGAAGGTGGGAAAGGGAGGGGAAGGACAGGAGGGGAGGGAGAGGGACTGAAGAGAAGGAGAGGGAGGGAGAGGGGAAGGACAGGAGAAGAGGGAGGGAAAGGGAGGGGAAGGGGGAAAGGAGGGAGAAGGAGGGACAGGAGAGAGGCTGAGGGGGAGGGGAGGGAGAGGAGAGGAACTGAAGAGTAGAGGGAGGGAGGGAGAGAAAAGGGGAAAGGAAGGGATGGGGAAAATATTGGGAGGGGAGGGAGAAGAGAAAGGGATAGGGAGAAAGGAGAGGAAGAGGAGGAGGGAGGGGAGAAGAAGGGAAGGGAGGGAGAAGGGTAAAAAAGAGGAGGGAGGGGAGGAAGAAAAGGAGAGAGGAAGTGGGGAGGGAAGGGGAAGGCCGGATAGGGATGAGATGGAGGGGAGATGGAAGGGAGGAGGAGATGTTGCTGCCTCAGAGACTGGGAGATGCCCCAGGCAAGGGATCCTCCTGTGCCAGGCTGCTTTGCAGACCTGTCAGGTATGGGTCCCCACTGGCAGGGGCATCCAGGGTGTGGAACTTCTCGGACTTCTCCCTTTGGAAGGAACTGGGGTCCCTCAGCCTGTGTCTGGATGGGAGGGGAGAGGCTTAGAGGATCATCGGCCTCTTTCTCCACTGGGGAAACCAAGTCACAGAGAAAGAGTAAAGCTTGTTTCTGTATCCCTGGTATATCTCCCCACAATGCAGGGTGCCTAGGGCTGGAATACAAAGTCGCCTTCCCTCTTCTTTCTTTTCTCAGTCCTTAGCACAGTACCTTTCATCTAGTAAATTCTTAATTAGAGTATGCTGAATTAAACTGAGCTCTTCATGAAGCTCCCTGACCAAGTGTAGGTGCTTTTTATGTTTCGTCTATTTTCAAGAAGGGGAGGAAGAGGGGAGAATAGGGAAAGAGTTCAGTGCCTTTTAAAAAAAAAAAAAAAAAAACAAGGACTGCAAAGACCATAGCAGATTGGGTTCTCTGTAACAAAAAGTTCAGCCCAAGATGAGGAGGTTGAGGCTGCCAGGCCAGAGAGGAGAGCAGAGTTTCTTGGATAGCTCTGACCATGGACAAGTTGGGGGAGGAGGTTAGGAGATGATTAGAAGAGTCCTCTATTGGAGAGGGAAGACAACTTGGAAAAAGCTCTTTATCCCATAGAAGCTTCCCACACACACAAGCACCCATTTTTCCCTAGCGTTTTCTGTGAAAAGATAACTACTTTTCAAAATGGGTTTTAGGGCACAGCCAATGTGAACTTTCTGTTTTGCTTGCTGGTGCGTATTTGTTACCAAGATTGTTGTTCAGTTTTGTTTTGTTTTGTTTTGTTTTTTCATAGGGGTAGAGGATGGAAATGGGGGATATCAGAAAGAAGAGGATCATTGAAGCATTTTCATTAATGCACAAAAGAAACACAGACTAGCAGGACAACGTTGAAAGTTGCATGTTGAATATATTATCTACTTAAAAAGGAAAAGCAAACTACCTAATAGAAATTTTTAGTTCTGTGTTCAGTCTGTTTTTCTATTCTACTTTATATAAGGATATGTTCATGTTATTTGGTGTTTATTACTTTCAGAATCTTTTTTGAAAAAGTGAAATTGATGGGGCAGCTAGGTGGCGCAGTGGATAGAGCGCTGGCCCTGAAGTCAGGAGGACCTGAGTTCAAATGCCACCTCAGACCAAACCCTTGCCCTGTACTGGCTGTGTGACCTTAGGCAAGTCACTTAACCCCAATTGCCTTACCAAAAAAAAAAAAGAAAAAGTGAAATTGAAAATAAACCTAAAATATTAAACTTCCTTCCCATCCTGTACCCCGGTGCTAAGATTTAGCCTCTGCAAAGCACTACCCTTTCCAGAAGCTATTCATCCTTTGGCAAGTTAACTTTCCTAGGCCTCAGTTCCCAGAACAGTAGAATAAATAAAAAACTGGTTCCTGTCCTCTAGCTCTATGAAATCTATAATATCTAAATATTTTTACAGCCCCCCCCCCCGCAAGTTCCTCACTTTTCTGATATTCTTCCCCCTTCCCAATACTCAGTGCTCCTTGCCACTTCCAGACCTTCCCTTTTAATCATTCAATAACCTCACTTGAGGTCATCTAAATCACACTAAGGCTATGGTCTCCAAAGTAGGGAAGTGATTTCATCCAAAGATTGGATGACCAGCTAATCTGAAGATAAGAAGTTATATTCCCTTAATTGGCTATTATGGGGAGGGTTAGGATGGAACATAACTACCATACTTACCTGCATGCTCTAACACTCCCCCACAACCATTCTTCCCCTTTTCTCTGTTATGCAAGCTCCCAACTTTCTAGCTTCTGAACTAGGATTGGCCCCCTCGGACAGTTATAATTCTGTATCTGGTACTTGGGCACCCACAGAAGCAGTTCAGAGGCACAGTAGATAAGAGACCTGGGCCTGGAGCCAGGAAGACCCAAGTTCAAATCTGGCCTCAGACACTTGCTAGCTATGTGACCCTGGGCAAGTCACTTAACTTCTATTTCCTCAACTGTAAAATGGGGATAATAACAGCACCTACCTCCCAGGGATATTATGATCAAAATATCTGTAAAGCATTTAGCACAGTGCCTAGCACATAGTAGGCAATATACAAATGTCCAGTCCCTTCCCCTTTCCTGCTGTAGCTGCTTCAAAGGTGTCAATGAGGAAATTCATGCCCCTCCCCCTATACATAATCACCCCCTTTTCACCAGATCCCTTGGTGGCTGAGATGATCCCATACCACCCCCATCACAGACAGTTGAATAAGAGGTCCTCTTCCCCCCCCATTTTCATTTTGGGTAGGACTGAGTAAGTGATACAGGCATGAATGGATTGTAGTAGACATGTGAGATCTCATGACATCATCTCTCTCCCCAATGCCACCTCTCTTCCAAACTTCCCTATTACCAGCCAAGATAGCACCATCCTCCAAGGTTCACAACATCTCCTCATTTTTCCTCCCTCCCACATGACCAATTTGTTGCCAAATCTTGTCATTTCTGCCTCCCATAACACCTCTCACTTCTTTTTTGTTTTTGTTTTTGTTTGGTTTTTTATTATTAATTTATATTGATTTATCAACAATCACTTCCATAAGCTTTTGAGTTTTAAATTTTTCTCCTCCTTCCCTCCCTCCCTCTCCAAGACTGCACACAGTCTGATATAGGCTATACATATACATTCCTATTAAACATATTTTCACATTAGTGATGTTGTAAGGAAAAATTAGAACCGATAGGAAGAACCACCAGAAAGAGGAAACAAAACACAACAGAAGAAAAAAACAGCAAATAGTATGCTTCGATCTGCATTCAGACTCCATAGTTCTTTCTTTGGATGTGGATAGCACTTTCCATCATGAGGCCTTTGGAGATGTCTTAGATCCTTGTATTGCTGAGAAGGATTAAGTCTATCAATATTAGTCATCACACAATGTGGCTGTTCCTGTGTATAATATTCTCCTGGGTCTGTTCATTTCACTCAGCATCAGACCATACAAGTCTTTCCAGATTTTTCTGAAGTCTGCCTGCTCATCATTTCTTACAGCACAATAGTATTCCATTACATTCATATATCACATTCATAGTTATGATTACTATCTGTGTCTTTCTCTCCATCCTTCCCCCTACCTCCCGTTTATGCTTTTCTTTCTCCTTTCTCCTTTTCCCTCCTCACTAGTGTTTTGCTTTTGAGCACCGCCTCCCTCAGTCCCACTTCCCTTCTATTAACCCCCTCCCTTTTTTCCCCTTTATCCTTACTACTTCTTCCCTCCTTTCTATCCCCCCTCCCTTTTCTTTCCTCTTTTCCCTCCTACTGCCTATAGGGCAAGTTAGATTTCTATACCTAAATGATTATGTTATTCCCTTCTTGAGCCAAATCTGATGAGAGTAAGATTCAAACAGTGCTCATCTCTCTCCCTTCTTTCCTTCTCCTGTAATAGGTTTTTGTGCCTTTTCCTGTAATGTAATTTACCCTTGTCTGTCTCCTCCTTTCCTTTTCTCTCAGTACATTTTTTTTGATCAGATTAATCCCCTTACTTGGATCCATTTAACCCACTTGATTAGATTTTTTTTATCATTACATCAAAGTCAGATTATACCCACCCCCTTTATGCATACCCCATTAACATGGTGTAATAACAATACAGTTCTCGAGAGTTACAAGTGTCATCTTCCCTTGTAGGGATGTAAACAGTTTGCTTTATTAATAACATGTTGTTTCTTTCTGTCCCATTTACCTTTTTATGTCTCTCTTGAGTTTTGTATTTGAAGATCAAATTTTCTGTTGAGCTCTGGTCTTTTTATCAGGAAGGTTTGGAAGTCCCCTATTTCGTTGAATATCCATCTCCTCCCCTGAAAGATTGTGCTCATTTTTGCTGGGTAACACCTCTCACTTCTTTTCCCTTCTCCCTTCTCACAATCACCACACTAGTTCAGGCCCTCTTCCCCTCTTACTTGGATTACTGTGATAGCCTCCCAGTCTCCCTGCCTTAGGACTCTCAAATCTGACCTTCACACAGCTGACAAAATGATTTTCCTAAAGGACACAGCTGACCATGGGAGTGGCCTAATCAGGAAACTTCAGTGGCTCTTTCCATCTCTTCTTGTGCTTCTCCTAAACCCATTCTTTATTATTATTGTTGTTGTTATTATTTTCCACTAACAAGCATTGATTGTCTCTCCCTACCACTTACTCTCTCCACTGGGAAAAAAAAAATCCTTGGCCTACATAGGCATAGTCAAGCAAATCAAATTCCCACATTGGCCTCATCCACAAACGTGTCTCATTCTACTTATTTCATCCCTCACTACTTTATAATTCAGGAGCTGAGTAGCATTCTTCATTATCAGCCCTCCCTAATTATGGTTGATCATTTCATTGATCAGTGCTCTGAAGTCTTTCAAAGCTATTTGTCTTTATATTGTTATTCTCCTGATATATTGTTCATTTCACTCTGCCTCAGTTCATATAAGTCTTGCCAGGTTTCTCTGAAACTATCCATTTCATCATTTCTTTGGGCACAATAGTATCCCATTCTATACATACTTCATCAGTTATTCCCCAGTTGAAGCCAAGGATACTCCCTTAGCTTCCTGGTCTTTGCCACCACAAAAAGAGATACCTTAAATACTTTCATACATATGGGTCCTTTTCTTTCTTACGGTTATTCGGACAAAGGGCAGGCAACTTCTGGGGCCTCAATCCAAACTGCTTTTCCTAAAACAATTTTTCATCTCTCTGTCAGCCTCTAATCCTTGCACACTGCCCAGTTCTCCCAGTATAGCTCCTCTCTGGTCTTACTGCCTCTTCTTAGGCTTGAAGACCTTACAGATAACCAGTTCAAGTATACTGCCCTCTACCTTTGCTCCCTTGTCCTGTTTCTTCTCAGGCCCTGTCAAACCTTACCATCTGCCTTCTTCACTCTAACTCACAAGCTTCAGAATTCCTCTATAGAAAGTTATACAAAGGTCCCAACTGGGCCCACTGCAAATTCACGTTATCTGATCTCAACAAGACCCCTCACAGCTGCTTAGTAATCCTTATTTTTTTCCCCCAAATGACCCTTGGCAGTCATTCCTCCTTTCCCCTCTCTCTCTTTTTTTTTTAAAAATTTATTTATTTTTAGTTTTCAACATTCACTTCTATAAGATTTTGAGTTTTAAATTTTCTCCCTCTCCCATTTCTCTCTCCCCCACCCCCCACTGCATACAATCCAATATAGGCTCTACATACACATTCATGTTAAGCATATTTCCCATTAGTCATAGTATAAAGAACAATTAGAACTAATGGGAGGAACCACGAGAATGAAGCAATGAAACAAAACAACAAAGGAAAAGGAGAGCAAATAGTATGCCTCCATCTGCATTCAGACTCCATATTTCTTTCTCTGGGTATGGATAGCAATTTCCATTATGAATCTTTTGTAGTTGTCTTAGAATCTTGCGTTTCTGTGAAGAGCTAAGTCTATCAAAGTCAGTCATCCCACAATGTGGCTATTACTGTGTACAATGTTCTGGTTCTGCTCATTTCACTCTGCATCAGTTCATGTAAGTCTTTCCCCTCTTTCTAACAGTCTTCAAGACAATCCCCAACCTCCCACACATATACCAGAGACCATTCTCTGGGACCCCACTCCTAATTTGTGATAACCTCTCTGGAACACTATTTCAAGACAGCACTAGGTGGTGCAGTGGATATGAGGGATATGGGCTTTGGACCCCTTCTGCTTTGAACTTTCCCACGAATTCCAGGAACCCAGCCCCTGAACTCAGATCTCTGGCATTCTTCTGAGGCGTCGCAAATAATCTTTTCAGTTGTCCTTTCATTGTGGCTCTGACCTTCAATTCTCTGTTACCTCTAACCCTCATTGTCTGCAACTGGCCCCACCCTAGACCACCTCTCCTTGATTCCATCTAGACCCACTCCTTGACCACCGTATATAAGGGTTCATCTTACACCCATTAAATTGCTCAGATTCTTAAAATCTGGCCAATAGTGTGGAT